TGTCAAGTAGACACACACCGAGATCAGCAGATACTGGTACAGCTAAAGACAGAGTCTGGCAGAGACCGTGTCCGGTGGAGAATAGTTAGATGCAAAAAGAATTTCGGTAAATTCGTAAGAAATTTTGAAGTCGGAATTTTTCAAAATCGTTTAGTTTTGTGCGCTTTTCGGACATTTTCCTACATTTTTGATTTTTTGAAAAATTTTGTTTTGGAAAAGGATGGAGTTCCATCATTCATAATTAAGGGTTGTTCTGATACTTTTACCTCCTTGTTAACTTTTATTTCTAATCTCAGTTTAACTAATGTATTACTTCCTTCTTTGCGGAAACAAACTGCCATTTTTACGGTGTTCAAAATTGGTAACTACCATTGTCAGTAATTTGAAACCCATTCCTATACATAACAATGATTCTAAACCACTTTAATTTAACATTCATGATTATTTGTACAACTTCTACTTTTATATATGTGTGTGTGTGTGTACAAACGTATTTGTCTCCCACTTTGGCCAAGATGAGGACCCACACACAGACAACTCGAGACTATTTTCTCTAGGTTTTATGGAGTGCCATGAACTTTTACCAAGTGAGCTGCAAGCATCTGAATACAAGAAAGTTTGTATAAAATTACTAAATATGCAAATTAAAAAAATTAAATAACTATTTGTGTCACACTCTTATCTGTAATTAAGAAAATTGTAGTAATAAGTTAAAGAGGAAATAAGAAAACGAAGTCCACAGAAAGAAGAAAAAACAATTTGAAAGTGAATTAATAAAGGAGACAGAAGAAATTAGAAAATAAAATTGATAGTAAAATTTTTTACAAAATGCCACTGTGTTGAACGCCACCAGCATCCTCAGGATGATCTTCTGAGATTTCAAGGAGTGGTCAAAGGCAGTACATGCAGAGGCTGCTAATGACAAATTCAGAATCACATTCTTTGTTAGGGCACTACATACTAATTATCATTATTTTAACACACAAGAATTTTGTATAAATTAAGCTAGAAGTGTGAGGCGCTCATAAATGCCTGGAGAACATATGGCACTAGTGATAGAAGACAGCACCACATACTTCATACACACTTTTATAAATGAGAACACTCAAAACACGCATTAAGAAATTCAGTGTGGACAAAATATCTGAACGCAAGTCTTTACAGTGGAAAGTAATAGATTTCTCATTATCTGAGTAAATAAACTACATTTATGTCATATTGTACCTTAATTCACAAAACATTAACTTAATTATGTAACCTGAAACAAGAAATTCTGTGATCAGAAACCAATTCTAAAAGTAAAATTTCCAGAGCAAAGGCTGAGAGATACTGAGAAAACATTGAGCACCAAAATGACCAAGTAAACTTGATTAGTGATTACCTTTATGGGGGAGTTAATGCATTCACGAGTGCAGGTACTCACATCAGACATCTGTGTCCTTCACGCCATCGTAACATTGCATGGAAGGTCAATATTAAAATCTCATTTAAACTAAATGTCTGAATACTAAATTGAAGAAACCTCAGTCCACACAAGATAATTTTCTGCAGTTTTATGACCAAATGCCAACTGTATGTGCTAGACAACCAACATCAAATGGCTGTAATTGTTCCGGATTTCACAGATGCAGCACACAGCAGTGGTATGTCAAATCTCATGTTTGTACATGGTGACAAACATGGAATGCTAATGACTACACATTTCAATGTCTCTCTATATTAACCAAGAACCTAAACGTTAGAGTTACCAGACAACATGATTTGGGTCCAAACAATATAAACATTTTCTAGGCTAATTAATTTCACAAAACATCCTTCCCTCCCCTAATATTTGAATATGGTTGGTTGCCTGCCTGACTGCTTTAAAGTTGGTACAACTCCATTTATTGAATGGAACAATCAACACATCAAATCATTTTTAAAATCAAAACTAAAAAAATGTAACCTAAAAGTAGCCTAACCTAAATGTTGTACCATAATAGCATGTTTCCTACCACAGAGCAATAATTGTCACTATAAATTACTCACTAGAGGATTGCAGTGGACCATGTAAAGATGTGTCCTTCCCTTTACAAATCGTTAATACGGCTAAAAGCACAACAGCCTTGCCAAGAATATAATATATGCTTCTTGTATGAGTAATGACCATCAGTTTCCTTCCTTCATTTGCTATTGAATTTCCGGCCCAAGACACTTTGTAAATATCATAAAGGGTATGAAAGACATATCGGAAATATTCTTGCAGTTAATGACCACGTTTACCTGTTGATGTTTGTGAGGTTTATTTACTTTTTCTAAGCCCATGAAACTATTTCAACTGAACTGACTCACATAACCTGCCACCAAGATGGAATTTCACATATATTTACTTACCAGTAACACACCATTTTAGGTTACCTAATGCAATTAGTTACAAAATTGTAAATATTTTTCCAGAATCTTTGGAAGCATTAGGAAGAACAAGACCAACTTGATGAAAATTAGGAAGTTTTGAGGTTAAGAATCCACAACTCCTAAATTTGTCTATTCACAAACACCCACGTATTCAACAGGAATACCAACTTAAATGCAAATTAAATTAGGATACTGAAATTTCAGTAAAATACAGTTGTTCCATTCAGAAATGCATAAATATGTATTTTATTAGAAGACTCAGCATGATGAGGTGGTATGCAGAACAGAATGGTAGGACATGACAAAGAGATATATGTACCAAGCAACACATTGTGAAGGTGCTGTGATAAAGCTCCTTGCAATCTTAACTGCTAAATAAGACAGTAATGCAGCTACAAGCGCTGACCCATATATCTCAAAGTATGAGCCTGGATGGATTTGTGTTGCACATGATAACTGGGATTCAATTTATGAAGTGAGCAGGAATTTTCTCAACAACATCCAGGCTGGCTCTTCATTCTCCTAGTCAGTCCTGGAGTTCCTTTTCACAGAATAAACCACCTGGAGCAGAAGCTGGTCACTCACTTCCATCCACTGATGAGAAAGAGAGGGATGGAGTGTTACATCCCTTCTTCCAGACACTTTCAAACCATGATTCTTATGCAAAGATAAACTTACATTCATATTGACCTTATGGGTGGGAATGTATCACCAATGTCTAATGGGTAAAAAGACAAAATTCATTCTCCCATCATGTACTTAAGTTTTAGACAAAACAGTTTAAAATGTCTTCTTGGATAGAATTTTGATTCTACAAATTTGTTTTTATAGAGCTGTACTAAAGGCAACATCACAGTACAAAATGTTGTGTTAAGGTTATAGAGAGATAGAAGAGTCTCAGAGTTTTAAACTCTGTGTATTAGAATGCTGATTGTTTCTTCCTACTGTAATCATCTTTTTGGGAATCTTCAACATGATTAGGAAAACAACAATAGTTGCACTGTTCAACACCTAGAATGTTTGCCGCAGGTTACAGTCATGTCCCTATTATTCTCCCAATGTAAATGTGATGGAAACAGGAATGTGGGAATTTTGCTTTTTAATTGTCTGCACAAATGGAGAAGAAGACCATTGATTTCAGTTTCAAAGCATATTTCCTCCACTTCTTGGCTGTAAATAGTGATTTCTCAAATGCAACTCGTAGTCTCCTGCACTTGACTGGCTAAGTGGATATATTAAAAGGCAGTATTTTAAAAGTCTGTAATCTGCAAAGATGCCTCATGCAAGATAACCCTACTACATAAAAGTGATGGAGGGTACTTTATGTGAAAGATTGTATATGAAATGGTACTATAAATAAGAATTATAAAGGGAGGAAAAAGTAAATGCATTTATGACATGAATTAATTGGCAAGTGTAACAGAGAGCAATTATGTAATTCTTCTGATATATAACAATAGGATGTTTTCTAGATCAGCATTTTTGCATAATAAACGCAGATAATTAGAAATAGACACATAATAGGTACCTCATAATTGTATGCATCAAACATAATTGTGTTCTGTTCCTAAAACAAAGCCAGAAAGTTCCTATAAACATAGGGTTGCAACGTCTTCATTAGTGAGACCTGGAAGCATCAGTAAATCAAATGGGACAAGTAAAACAGCTTATTATAAACACATTCATTTTTGTTCCTAAAAATACCTTAACAGGATTTTAATGTTCATAAAGTATTGACAAAAGTTTCTGAAAATGTCGTCTATTACTTTGAATGCATAGCTGAGCTCTGTGGCACTGGTACACTGAAAAATTTCTGTTGTCACAGCCACTGAATCAAATGCCAAAGCTAGTCCTTCATGTTCACAAAGTAATTTATGCCCCTAGATGCCCATACAGGTAGGATTTGGTAGATGTAAAATCAGACCACAGAATCAATTTGGTTCATCTCATCCATCAGCATGTGTGACAAGAGTCCAGAAGCTGCTTTATGTTGCAGGTAAAATGAACAGCAGCTTCACCATGCATAAACCACAGTTTTTTACATTGTTAATGGTACAGCCAACATTATTTGAGATAATTCTGTTGAAAATGTAAATAAGACACCCTAAGAGTTGAAATACTAACTCATAAGGTGATCACCAGTCATCCTCCTTCATTTGATTAGTTAGTTAGTTATTTCCTGTTACTTAGAAACGTCTCAGAGTTTTAAACTCTGTGTATTAGCAGCTGTTTCTCACCCATGTCTCTTCTGATTCACTTCTAGAAGGCTCTCCTTCTAGAAGTGACAAATCAGAAATGAGCATAAACTGTACAGATGCAGTCGGTTTGTCACCTGCTACTCTACTAAAAGACTAATTTGGCAAGTTGCCTTGACCAAATGTCCAGAACGGGCCAAGGGCCCGATTCTTGGCTGGATCATAATGATAATACATTGCACCATGTGGAACTACATAAACTTTGTCATACTGGAACTAGGTATCTAAATGCCTAACCTGAGAGACTGCCAGCTAGAATTTAACTTGAGGGATTTACCTATTGAAGGTATTACATTTGTGTTGAGAAAATGTCTATATCTGTGAAGCTATTAATGCTAAAGCACTGTAATAAAAGGTTGAAAAAATATATATTGCACAACTTTTTAGTACTGCGCTATTACGTGTAATGTCTATAAATTTCTTAAACTCAATTAAAAAGAAAATTTATACATCACAATGTTCAATACTTATACTATGTATTATTCTCATGTTGATTTAGATATTTACTTTTGTATAAAAAATATAGACTTACATAAACCTACATACAAGCTGACTTTGCACATGATGCGCTTACATTTTGCAAGAATTCTTTTCTTCATCACTGAACACACTGGCACCTGGCCAGTGTCTGGTATTTTGACCTTCAAGATAACTCATTTGTTGGCTCAGGCTGGATTGAACCCACAGCACTCTTGCACTCATTTCCAATAAAGTGTGAAGTACAGCCAAACAGAATATTTAGTGGTTTATTTGACTACCGCAGAATGTTAGTTTGCTATGACTATTTAATATTGTTTGATACAACATTTTAAAATATATGTTTCTTTTCCTGTACCCTGTTCTAAAGTCAATTAAATAGCTATTACCTCTTCTGTCCCATTTGTTGACAGAGTCCATTTGCTGATTTCAGTCATCAACATTGACAGTTGTGCATTCAACACAAAAATTACTTTCTGCTGGTGATTTTATGTGCACTTGTCAGTATCTGCATGTCTTATTTGTGCTTTCAAATCACTGTGAAAACAGTTCTCACTAGAACGTATATCAAACCACTTCAACTTTAGTGTCTTATTGTCAGAATCCCCAGGATTACTTTACATTGGCGTTTCTGCAACAGGTGATAAGTGTAGTGTGCGGGTAAACAAATAAATAAAGAGAGATAAAATTTTATGTGAAATTTATAGCCACACTCCTAGTGACATTTCTCTGTTTTGCATGTAGTGGTGTCATTGTATATGTTGCCTGCCCTTTTCATAGTATATGTCCATATTGTACATTTAGTAATTTATATTGCAAAAATTTATAAATCCTTATGCCAAAGCATTTATATTTCTTAAAAATATTTATTGTTTGAATCTAACTCTCAGTCCAAATAGCACATTGACTTCATCTTTACCTAAATGTTCAGATAGACTGTAAAATTTAGTATGGGTGTCTTTAGAGCACGTCAAAGAGAAACTTTATTTTTTAAAATCTGCCATTACTCTTTATCAGTATATACTGGCTGATTTCTATTGTCACAAAAAAAAATGTGAATATCTCAATACATGAAAATTAGATCACATTTTATCATGTTGTAAAATGGCATTTGGAAATCTTCAAGAGGGGATTAAAAAATTAGCTCCCATCATCATTGTTTAGTGTTTCTAAATATTGGTACCAGTAGTCGGATCATGTCCACAAAGAAGAAAAGAAAATGGTTGTAACTTCTGAAGAATATGTGTTCACGAATGTTCTCTTGTATCTTCAATTTATTTTGGCTTCGAACATAAAGACGGACACCACCATAATTCTACGTCTGTCGTGCTTACGACCAGACATTACCTCTGCCACCACAGTGTATTCATTAAGCTTACTTTCTCTGTGAGATGACATTGTTTCATCAGTTAGTCATAGAATTAATTTCTGTTAATTTTGTATTCTATTCCCCAAAATTTATGCAATGTATACAGTTATTTCTTACCTTACCCTAAGAGAAATTGATAGTGCTCTGTGAAGTTAAGAAAGAAGTATTACCAGCATGAATAAACATGAATACTATTAACTGAATATATTATTCAGAGGCCAAGTTTCAGCTTAAGCATTCTGTGCAAAGAAAATATCAGAGTGTTTGTACTGTTTGAACATTTTCAACTTGAAATCCTCTTATTTTCCATTCTTTCAAGTAATATTACATTTGTTTATCACAGGTCACTAACCTTCAGGCATAAGTTAATGACTTACATGAGTAAGTAGTTTTATCATTTCTGTATCTGTTATTCAGCAAATTGCAAAGTCCTGCAGCATTTAAACGGACATGTTTCTGCATGTATAATATTTGTATGAAACATCATAGAGTAAATAGGTCGATATTGGTCAGACTTGTGAGGAAGATATGTTCAACTGTGGCTGGCAAATCTGAAACAAAATTTTACCTCAAATTAAATATAAGAGAAGTAGAGCAGACAATATTCCAAATTAGTTTATATAACATGCACAGGTACTTGGTAATCTATGCGGGGATCTGTTATTTTTATGTATCCATTTTCCTATTTTTATTGCAAAATAATTTAATAAATTTTCATCATAACTGAGAAGTGTTTTTATTTAAATAATTGTATTTATGTTCAAAACAGAGAAATGTTTTCTACTTTATTGTTAATTTATTATAAAAATTAACCTTTGTAAACTATTATGGGATCTAACCATACATGCATGACCTCTGGACATTAAAACCTCAAAAAGTCTGTCCCCCGAGTAAAAAATGAAGAGAAACAATGCATAAGCTTCAATTACTCAAAATATGATGCACATCAGATCTCCAAAACAGCAACCTATCCACCAATATAAGTCAGAAACACTAGTACTAAGTTGTCTTATTTAGTAAAGACGATGATGATAAATATATTTCATTGTTCATTTAGTTACTCTATATTTAATTCACAATATAGAACTAAATTCCTACAGCCTAAGGTAATAATTTATATGCATCTGGTATAATGTTTATGACATACATGATGATTATGTCCGAGTCATAATGAATATATTTTAGAATTAGACAAAAGCAAATTAAGGTAATACCTCAACATTTACCAGGAAGGGGAATCATGACAAACTTTTGACAGCCAGCTTCTGGGATGGGACAAAGCATTTTGCAAGTATTATCAATATGAAGGATAACAGATGAAAACAGTGAATAAGAGTGTATAAGGAGGTCATGGTTACCGTGGTATTTTGTTTTCTGTAAGAAAAGTTTGAGTGTGTTTGCAGAAATTAAAAATTTTGTCTTAAATTATAATAACCTGCTCTAATATTCTGTATGACGCAGTTACTCATTTTAATGTAATATGAAGTTCACATACTCATTTGATACCATTCATCAGGTTTACCAGCTTCTATACGAGCCGAGTCCAGAGCATATCTCAATGCAAACAGAACACTGCAGCTCATACACAGAGGAGGCTCTCCTGTTGCTGTAATGGAATAAATAAATAAATAATTTAATATATACACACACATACACACATGTGCACACATGCTCATGGTATCACAGAAATAAGTACATACATTAAACTCAACTGATCCTCAATCATTTTGCATTATGATGCCATCTATTAGGTATAGACCACACTAAATTTCCCTCATAAACATAACACATCACACAAAGAATAACAACAAGGTTAATATTCCATATTATAACATATGTACCTCTATTTGGGACACTATGTATACATTACTTGTCTATCTGCTGGTATTCTTTGTTACATAAGATGCATATTAAGTTCCACCTTTTTATACCTATGGTTTTAATAAAATCAGATAATAAAACAAAGTGAATAATAACGTATCAGTGTAGTCATTAATGTCTGCTGAAAGACTCTCTCATAAATGTGACACCAACTATCTCAACTTGGAACTTCCAGTTTCATGACAAAGACAAAATTAATCCTGCATTTTCAATGCCATGCATAAATCTGAGTTCTCCCCATTACGTGAAAATGACGTTCTTGTATAAACATTGCACAAACCACATGACACATTATGCCTTCTCAACTTGAGTAAATATTTTTAATCTTTTGTGTTTGAAGCATTCCTCATTGTGACATCAAGAAATCTGTATGTTCACAGGTTAAGGAATAAAACTTTTTAAATTATTCTTTCCAAATATTTAACTTTGTTTTTTATATCTTGTTTAGTTTTCTCACAATAAATCTTTGAGAGTGTTCAATTCTTTTTTAATAACCCAGTATTTAAATGGAATGATGGTCACTTGCAGAATATACGCATATATTTCTATTCCAATGTTTGTGATGTCCCAAAACATGGAAAAAAAGTGCTTTCACTTCCCGCCTTGCCATTATGTTTTCCGATCAATGTAAAGTGGTCTGGATGAGAATGTAGTTCCCTGGCATGGGGAATAGTTAGATGAGGATGCGGCTTCTAGAGAGAAAGTTTGCAAAATAGGACACCTTTCAGCACGACCTTACCTCTCTAAAAACTGAAATAGTCTTAAGTCATGGGAAGAATATTACATTCAGCCAAAGAGTTTTGCTACTCTTCTTCTTCTGTAAAGACCCATATAAATATTTATAAATATACTGTGTTAACAATTTTGTGAAAATATACTTTAACATATACATGTTCTTAAAATGACCTAAGGGTCTGATGTAGCAATGTTGATTTTATTGATGCTTTAACCCCTTTTACAGAATGATCTAAAAGACGCAATTTATATTAAAATATTTGTTTTTGGTCACATTTTAATATAGTGTGAAAGGCATAAGATTAAACATTTAAATCTGACAGGATTAATAAGCACACTCTATCACTGAAATTACACAGTGCGGTCCAAAAGT